AATCACAAGTTTGAGTCCAGCCTCAACAACTTAATGAGTCTGTCTCAGAATGAAAAGTAAAAGACAGGGCTAGGGATTTAGCTCAGCATCCGTAGGTTCAATCAAAAAGCATTCTAGACTTATGTTCAATTGTGCTGCCTAGCTTTTCTATCTTAATAATTGGATACTTGACTGCTACAACCAGGCATCTCTCAATATTGTCTCTCTTGCCTCAAAATTTGTGTGAAAGCTTGATCCTAGAACATTAGTGTCAGAAGGGCTAGACTTCAGAGGTATATTTGGTCCAGTTCCTTAAATCAGGATGTGTATATCCAGTTTTCTAAGGATATTCTAAGCCATACAATAAATGTAATACATTAACCCTTCAGCTTGGTAGAAGAAAACTTTGACCAGTTACTTTTTTCATATTAAAAAATAGATAGTAGCAAGGTGCGATGACACATGCCTATAATCCCAGAGGTTTGGGAGGCTGAAGCAAGAGGATTGCAAGTTCAAAGCCAGCCTCAACAATTTATCAAGGCCCCATGCAACTTAAAGAGACCCTGTCTCAAAATAAAATATAAAAAAGGGCTGGGATGTGCCTCAGTGGTTGAGCCCCTTGGGTTCAATTCCTGGTACACCCCCCCCCCCAAAAAAAAAAAAAGTCAACAGAGTGGCACACATCTATTCTTGCAGCTACTGGGGAAGCTGCAGCAAGAGGATTGCAAATCTCTACCCCTGGGCAATTTAGACCTTCTCTTAGGGAAAAAAAAAAAAAAAATGGGCTGGGGATATAGCTCAAGGGTAGAATGCCTCTGGATTCAATCCCCAGTACCAGGGCAGGGAGTAGGGAGGAAAAAATATCACAGTAGAGTGCAAAATGTATTAATTTTGAAGATAAAACTTCTTTGAAGTCTCCTAATTGATCTTTGAGTCACTTTAAGTCAGATCTTGGACCTCAAGAGACCCTTCTTGCCTTTTCTCTGTGTTCCTGGAAAGGCCTGTTTGCATGTGATTGATTATTCATTCACATTTCAGTGGAATAGACACTAGCAGTACTGTTCAGAGTTTTGGAATCGTGTGAAGATATTGTGAAACACAGGAACTGAAGTAAACTGTATAGCTATTATCTATGAAGCAGTCAAATTATAAATGTTTGAAAAATCAGAGTAATTATGAGGAATTTTCTCTTGGTTTTGAATAAAACACAATCAGTCCCTTTTGGGTTGTTTTCTTAGCTTAAACAATGAATTATAATCCAGATAGAAGAAGAAATACTCTGTTTTAGATAATAAGAGAACCATGTGGCTCTACATTAAAACAAGGAAATTTATTTCAGGTAGACTGTAGTCCTTTTTCACATGTAGATCCCTTTGTCTTGAAATGGCTTTGAAAATGCAGAAATGCACTTGAGCAGCTTCTTTCTTTATAGAAAAAATATGGTAAAGATTATGACATTCTTTGTAACTGAAGCTTTTAAAATATTTTCATTGTGATTTTTTTACTAATCAAAATGTGATTTCCGGGCTGGGCTCAGTGGTCGAGTGCTCACTTTGCACGTGCAAGGCCCTGGGTTCGATCCTCAGCACCACATAAAAAAAAAAATATATATATATATATATATAATTATATATGTTATATATTTATTATATATATAATAAATAATAAACTACAACTACAGAAAATTTTTTTAAAAATGTGATTTCCTTTCCTTTCCATTGGTAATCCTGGAGAAATATATTGCTATTTCACAATATGACCACTGGGTGGAGTGCAATTTTTGTGTTTTTTGTGGTGAAATGAAAGTACTTCATTTTAAATGTGGTGACATGAAAGTATTTCTGTTGAACCAATTTAGTGCAACTTCACATAAGAAAAGTTTAAGTAAGGAAGTTTAAATAAATCCTTATACTTTCTTAAAAATCCCTTTATAACTAGTCTCATATTTACAGGATGAGTAGTGGGGAAAAACAGAAACCAATTACTTAGCATCATTATCACTTGTGGAATCTGAGCAAGACTGATCTTCTGAGTTGCACTTTAGATTTGTTTTTCTAAACAAAGATTTTTGGGGGCGGAGAGCAAGGTTTAAGTCTATGAAGAAATATTCAAATTTCTGCCTACTATTTTTTTAAGATCATTGAAGATACTATGTAAAAGTAAAAGCATAGTTTTTCTCAGTATTCAGCTATTTACTTTTACTTTAGCTAGTTTTTTATATTTAGCTTTCAGAACCAGAAAAGTTTTAAAATGGTTTTTCTTTGAAAATCATAAGGATAATTGAAAATAGTTGGTTGTGACTTTAACATTTATTGACCAAGGTGGGGAACTGGAACCAGAATGTTGGGTTCCAGCCTTGGAGGTCAGGGTAATGCTTAGATCACCATAGGGAAAAACTGTAGGTGTGTGTCCAGTGGCAACATAGATGTCCAGAAAATGAGCTCATCTCTGAAGGTCCATAGTACATGACCCCTTACAGTGAGGACGTTCTGTGAGTCATCCCTCAAAACAATGACACAATACCAAGACGGGCAGGAAACCCATATGGTTGGCTTGGGGCCTTCTTGTTGTGTAAGTGGCCTTTGAGGTGAACATTGTCCAGATTTCATATCTACTGCTCTCTGCCCTGTTTGATCTCCGCCATCATCTTCCCAAGCCACATTCTCTCTGAACTAGGCAAAATGTTGTGGGGGGCAGGGGACCACTGAACCAGAAATTGGGATTGTTGTTTGAGCATATTTACCAAAGAAGTGGGTCCTTGATTTCCTCATGTTTAAAATAGATAAGGATAAGGTTTTTTTTTTTCCCTTTACATCTACCCTTCTTCTTACAGTCTTCCCTTCTGCTACCACCCTGTATATTTTCTTATCACTCTCTTTCACATTTTATTTCCTCTGCTCCCTGACATTTCCTTTTGTCTCCTTTTTCTTCTTGTCATTTCTCCTTAATCTGCCTTTTTTGTTTTCTCCTATTTCTCCTTCCTGTCCTCTCATTTCTCCTTTCACTTTTTTCCCCTACTGGAAGCACCCCAAATGGGTTTTCTTTTTCTTTTTTTAAATTTTTAGTTGTAGATGGACACAATACCTTTATTTTTATTTATTTTATTTTTATGTGGTTCTGAGGATTGAACCCAGTGCCTCACATGTGCCAGGCAAGTGCTCTACCACTGAGCTACAATCTAGCTCCTACATGAGGTTTTTATGACTGCCCTCTGCCATTGGGGATCAGGAACTGTAGCAGGTCATGGAGGAAATATTTAAATTTCTCTAAATGGCATTATATTTAAACCATAAAACCCCTAAGAGAGATTTTTGTATGTGATGTGTACTGAATTAGAGCACAGATGAATGTGGATACCTCAGTATACTCCAGACTCACCTTAGTATCTGGTAGACTAGATAGCAAGAAGGGAAATAGGTGAACACAAGACAAGTTTTTCTAGTTCTAATTTTGGTGAAATTGTTTTTTAATTCTGCCACTTAATTTTTTTATTATACTAACTGGTGGTGTATTGCTATAT